CCGAGCGATTCTGTGATTCTGTGATTCACAAGTTTCACGCCATAATGGCAATAATCCACTAAGAGCAATTATTGTTGTTTTTCTTCCTGACTTAAACAGCATCAGGCTCCTCTGCCCTGGGAGGGAGCCCCGGACTATGCTGCTGTCAAGGAAGCTAACTCTGGACTGCGGATCTCAGCTTCAAACTTCATAACATGCATGTTTCACACATGAGACAAAACACCTACCTGGCAAGTCACTGTACAATGCTGACAGAAGGTATTTCAAATAATGGAAAAATATGGGTCTATCATTAATCTGATATTACCGCCTTTAAAAATAACGGAACCAGTTTGTCTGCAGGGTGAAATGGCCCAAGGTGCTGCTTCAGGAACAAGCCCTATGTGCAATACATCACAACTTCCAAAAGATTTCTTCTCAAGTACACAGTAAAGGCAAACAAACAGAAAACCAATTTCAGAAAAACAACCGATTAAGAATTACTCACCCCACCAAATCCTCTAAAACGCTGCAGGACATCATTGTTGATGAAACAGGACTGCGCAGGATCATGGAGGGCTTGGTCCAAGATGTGGTCAATGAAGTAGATGCCCGGCTCGATGGTGAGCACCATGCCCTGCTCCAGGTTGCGGGCGGTGCGCAGGCTCCTGAGCCCCGGCAGGTCAATGCGCTCCACTCCCTGCGGAAGAAACACCAGTTCTGACAGACGGGAAGGCAATCCATGGCTGACCTTTTACCAGGACCCTCCTACCCCGACTGCTCTGTAAAACACCCGAAATACAAAGCAATAATCAAGAAGTAGAGGAATGAAATCATGCTGTACAGTTACCTCTCTATCATTAGTCCCTCATCTAGCTTTCATGTGAGCAGCTTTCAGCTCAAGACCCAAACTGGTTTTTGCACCACAGAAATCCTGGCTTTGGATATGCTTGGTACTGTCACTCTCTACCTTGAGAGAAGTACTGCACTACACAGAAAAAATAATTACTTACATTCTTTCTTTCTATACCCTTCCTTGCAAAAAGCAATATTTTAAGGGATGTGCAAATCTTGAAATGCTCCCTCCAAGTCATGGCTGAAACAGCTGAACTATGCAGCTGTGCTGGTTTTGGCTGGGATAGAGTTAATTTACTTCACAGTAGCTAGAATGGGGCTATGTTTGGGATCTATGCTGAAAACAGCACTGATAATACAGGGATGGTTTAGTTATTGCTGAGCAGGGCTTACAGAGAGTCAAGGCCTTTTCTGTGAGGGGGCTGGGGGTGCACAAGAAGTTGGAAGGGGACACAGCTGGGACAGCTGACCTGAGCTGACCAAAGGGATATCCCATACCATATGGCATCATAGTCAGCATATAAAGGTGTGGGAAGAAGAAGGAAGGGGGGGGCATTTGGAGTGCTGGTGTCTGTCTTCCCAAGTAACCGCTATGCATGATGGAGCCCTGCTTTCCTGGAGATGGCTGAACACCTGCCTGCCGATGGGAAGTAGTGAAGGAATTCCTTGTTTTGCTTTGCTTTTGTTTTACCTATTAAACTGTCTATCTCAGCCCATGAGTTTTCTCATTTTCACTCTTCCAATTCTCTCCCCCATCCCACCGAGGCAGAGTGAGCCAGCAGCTGCCTGGTGCTTAGTTGCCACCTGGGGTTAAACCACGACAGCAGCAGAGAACAATTTCTTCAAGGATATGCAAATGCTTATTCACACTAAATGTTATTAAAATTACACATTTATGATCTTGATTGAGGAGCAATGAGTCTACACATGACCTCATAAAAGCAGCCTATTTAAAACTAAACTTTTGTCAGATTCAGACTTTCAGGCAACATGGTGCTGACTGATATTATTAAAAACTAAGTCAAAACAAGTCCTGACTAGCAAAACATTCTCTTCTTCCCAAAAGCTGGTAAAGTAAAATGATATATGAGGACATGCTTAGTCAAGGAATTAGAAGCACTGCAAAGACTAGTTCAGGATATTAATTTTCTTCCCCAAAATATGCCAGGTATTGCAACATCGGAATAAATATATCTCAATCCCATTAGCTTTTTGAAAAGTCTTTGCAACTGTAGCAAAATTTCCCCAACAAAATACCATGATGACCCATAAACAGCTCACAGACCCACTAGCTTGCAAACCCGCACGCACACTTTGCTGATGAAAACTTTTCCACTTTAGCCAGTAAGTCAGAGGTTAACAGGTCTGCAAGACCAAGGTACTATTTATCTGCTCTCCAGGTAGCTTCCCCAGATCTTGCTTCTGGCCAAAGTCACAGTAATCTTCCCTGCTGGCAGAAGGGGTGACTCCTTTCAGCATCACCAGCAGCATGACTGGTATCACGAGGATGAAACATCCCCTTTCTGTAGGACAAAGTGCACTGCCCAGCGCTACCCTGGGTGCCTGTCATGGCTGTGCCCCCCTGTTTCTGCCACACAGATGCAGGGGGCGGAGGGAGGCGGGAGCATACCTTGAAGATCAGCCACATTTTAGTCTACTGAATCATTCCCTCTGCTAAGTGGATATAGCCCCATGGTGCTGTTTGCTCTTGAGCTCCACTTTCAGTTCAGAGAAAGCCTATTTCACAGAAATCCTTCTTGCAACAGTCACTCAGCAGTGTTTGTTTTATTCTCACTGGTCACTCAAGCAATACTGGGGTAGGTTGTTTTTTTCCTTTGCAGAGCTAATTCTGTTCCAATGCACGGCATCTCACAGCAGCCAAGATTTTGAGAGCTCACCAGCCTGGACATCTGTGGGCAGGTTTGCCCATTTTTCAGAGACTCAGAGCATTTGCAGTTCTTGGTGCCCTCGCAAGCCAGCGAGTGCATCCTGAACATTTTCACTGCGTATTTGATACATTTTATTTCATATGTTTGATCTGAATTTTGCAGAGCATTTTATCACACTAAAATAAGAGACCATGATTTTGTTTTACAGCGGCTAGGAAACAAGAACATTCTGATATTAAGCAAGGCACTCTGCATTTATATTCTTATCAAAACCCAAAGAGAATCAATAAATTTCTAAACTTGAACAATAACTGCACTGAAACGGAGCCATTTTTCTTTCTGCTGATGCCCCATGGGGTTTGGCATCTCACACATTCATTGTAATGCACAAAGGAAATGAGGGCATCCAATCTTGTGGATTAATCTCTCCATGAGCTGTAAACAATTAGATTAGTGTCTGGACCTTTTGGTGTCTTGCCAACTATCTATCGGCTGCTTTACAACAAACAACCCACATTTGGCTTTTAAGTACCCTTCTCTTCAATTCTACTTGTAAATGCCTTTTCTGGGGCGGTCAATCCAAGACAGATGCTAGAAACATGAATGTGAAGCAAAGAAAACAATGGCAAACATCCTCTGAAGGCAGCCCTGGCACGGCATCCGCATTTTTTTGCTTTTTCTTAAAATAAATGAGGTTTAACACCAGGTGTGCTGATCAAGCCTCGATGCTTATTTTGGATACCTCTGTACAGCCATTAAAGCAATACATAGACATTTTGTTTGCACTGCTTGCAGTCTGATTCTGCTTTTGGTACTTCCTCCAAGAAACTAACATCATGTTTTCAACCCAGAAGCAAGACCTGGGGATTCACGATTGGAAACCTCTTTCAGCAGTGCAGGCCCCCCAGGCCATCAGCAATGCTGGGAGGGCCCCTGAGGCACCTGGATCTCCTGCTTACCCAAAAGTAAATTTTAACTTCACTAGAAGGAATTCACAAACTCTTTCTGACATCCCCCCAACTCTAGGTTGCATGGACTCTTGGTTTCATCTCCAGGTCATTGGATTTTGCAGACACTGAAGTCATTGTGTCTATGACAGTGGCTACATCTCTTCCATGAAAGCATCGCTGATGGGGCTGGAGAAAGAGTCACACTGCTCAGCTTTGCACAGACAGCAAGGAGGACACCAGGGGGTGGGCTTGTGGCAAGGAAGCCCTATGCTCTCTTCTCATGGAGGCCAGTACGGTGTTCACCAGGAGATGTGTGAAATGGAAGAAGAGAGAGACAGGTTCTGGCTATTGCGTTTATGTGGCCATGTGTGCCCTGAGACGAGGACAGCCCCAGTCCAATGTGCTGCAAGGCTAAAGGACAACATGAGCTGGTACAGGGAACAAGAAGAGCAGGGAAGGTGACCAAGCAGAGGAGATGACAAAATCCCTTCTTCTGAGAACAGCACTGGATTAAAACATACATGAGACTATGCATCAGCATCCCAAGTGACATCTGATCTCTGGGCACTTGTGACCATCCCAGTAGCCACCACAGCCAACAGGTTCAGGGGCTGACAGCTCTCAGCTCCCAGGCTGCTTTGGTCGCTTATGAAAACTATGAAAAACTGAGGATGTTTTAAGTGACTGAAACACCACCATGCCCCAAAACAGAAGGTGACAGGTCTGAAACAAGGACATTGCCAATTTCCATCAAGTCAAACCCTGTTGGGAGCAAAGCCTTACACTGTCATCCATCAGCATGAATCTTCTGCTATTAATGGATTTTCTCCTTTGTGAGGAGGAAATTTCCCTATATTTTGCAGCTAAACAACTAATGCCTTGTTTTCAACAATAACCATGATGTTGTTTTGTAGTCAGATGAAATGAGGAGTAAAAATGTGCACGCTGGCGCAGCAGCTGTGTGGGTATCTGTTTCTATTATAGTCATATCCTGGAGGCCTGGCCACGAAGCAGGACCCTGTCACACTCAGCGCTGCAAAAAAGCGTAGAGAATAATCTAGAAAATAGTAATACTTAAGCACCTAGAAAAAGGCTCTCAGTGATATTTTGGGAAAATTACCTTTCAAAGAACTGTTTATTTTCCTGTATATTGTGAGAACAGACTATATCCAAAATTGGTTTTGGATTCTGAAGTTCTGCTCACACTTTAGAATTGAGACACTCCCCCCACAGTACACACAGATGCATGACATTGTCATTCGTGACTGTACTCCTGCCAAGAACATCAGATTCCAATTAATGGTTCATGTAAGGTAACAAAACCCAGCATGTCTAGGCAATAAGGACTGTCAAGGGAACAAGAGAATTATTATGTAAACTGATTTCATTACTATGTAAGCAAAATAAAAGTTCAAATTAAGTGTGCAGTAATAGAAAATATAGATCTATTTTTGGAATAAGTGGGGAATTAGGAAGTAAGCAAATAACCCTATCTCCCAGAAAAGTGGTTGTGGAAGACTAGAAGTTGAAATGTCCCCTAAATACCCCTATATAAGGATAAATTACTGCCTGCTTCTCAGCACCTCAAAGGTTAATGGGGGTATGTGCTGCTTTTTCCATGGAAGAACTGCAACGTGTATCATGCTGGATCTTGTCCCACAGACACCAGCTACCAGGCAAAGTGATTAGAAGCAGAAACAGCCACAGGGCCTCACAGGTGAGCCTGATCTTGGGTCCATCTTTGGATCAGGACAGAATAAACCACAGGTGATGTCTCTGAGCTGGCTGGTCATTGCCCACAGGGCCATTACTCTCTCTACGGATGCACAGCCACAATGATGTGAGGACACCCTCCCTTCTGAAACCAGGGGCGGCAAAACTTAGTTGGCATCACCCAGAAGTTTTCTGCAGCCAGCAATGGCAGCAAAGCATGGCCACAGGAGAGATCACCAAAGCTACTCATGACCGCAAATACTGAACCACGGTAAGAGACTCATATGGCAGCA